CCCTCCCCCTAAGCGCGTGACGTAATATGTGGACGACCCCTAAGTGTGCAACTGCAAGTTGCACGGAAAAAAATAATAATCGGTTCCGTGCTTATCGATTTAGCAGGCAAATTTGGCACCCCTGCCAAAAAAGTAGCTACAGGATAAAATATTTAGCTGTACTGCTAAATATTATTAGTGATACAGCTAGACCATTGCTTCAGTTAGCTGTACAACTAAAAGTTTAGCACTGGAGCTAAAAAAAATAGCTGGGCCTATGCTGATGAATTTTTAGCACCAGTGCCCAGTGCTAAAAAAATAGCTAAGGTGCTATATTTTTTTTTGCGTGTGAATACTTGCAAGTGTGCAACTCCGAAATCGTACACTTGCATGTGTTAAACTCGGTAGATGTGCACTTGCAAGTGTGCAACTCCTCGGTTGCACACTTCCTTAGATTGGAGGCTTACTTTGTATAGAAAGTGTGCAACCGAGGACTTTGCACTTGTACACTTGCAAGTATTTAACTTACAGTTGCACACTTAGAAGTGTTGAACAGTTGAACACTTAGTTTGTGCATCCCAAAATTCCCAAATTCACTGATAAACCAAGTGTGGAGCTAGCGCTTGGCTTGCGCTAGCCGAGTGTTTAACTATAGGTATAGTTGTGCACTTGTGAGGCCCAACTCCTCTGAACACTTTCTGATATGGCACGCACATAATTTCGGAGTTAAACACCTGAAGGTAGTGCACATCTTATTGAAGTTGCACTCACAGTGTTTAGGGGTTACACACTTGGTTTATGAGTGTTGTTCCTGAAGTAAGAAACGACCAGAGTGGGGCGAGCCTAGTGAACGTAAATGCCATTTGGTCCGCTATCAAACAACAAACGAGATGGACGATCAAGCGCACCGGAGAGTAAAAACAGTCCGGCGCGCCTGGCATCGCTCTCGGTATTCCCTACTCGAAGGCATTTCGAAGCAATGCACGACGCTGCCGAGCGTCGTGTGTGGCTGCAGCGCCAGGAAGTCTGGTTGCCATGACGACCAGGAGGTTGTTGTCGTGACGCTGGCTCGTCACACGGCCGTCACTCCACCGTCACCGCGGCGACCAGACCTACCAGCGCGCCATTAGTTAAAAAGGTGTCTGTGTGTCAGAGAGTGCACGGCATTGCATTCCCCGAGCGCTCAGGTGCGTCGCACGTGCAGCCGCACTCACACGCGTGACAGAGTTTGTGACGACTCCGTCACGCGTGACAGAGGGTGTGACGACCCCGTCACGCACACTAGTTTGGGAACAACTTTCTTTCACAATACAAATATTGGCGTTCTTTTCCAGAGTATAAAAATTGTGGAATTCTTTCAGAGGTGAGCTCTCTCTCTCGTAAAGTATTAGGCTGGGCCGAAAGTACACTTTTGTCCTTCACGAAAACGCCTGGGTGCCGAAAATTGTCCCATACCAATTCGAAACTAAACGCACTTTGAAATTTTGAAATCGCATAATATCTTCTGCCTGTTTTTTGAGCGCAAAGTTTAACATTAGCTTCTTATGGGGAATTCGGTCAAATACCAAAACTTTGTTCTGCGTTCCAAGTCCCAAGTCATCTCACATCGTCAAAAGTATCTCGTAAATTCTCGCTTTTTCTCTAAAATTTTGCATATTTATGAAAGGAAAAATTCTCGAAAATGACTACAAATGTTGGCATACTGTATATCATCGGATTCGGTTTTTGGCGTAGATCACTAATCTCAAGTCAGTTTTATTCAACAATTTTTTTTTCTAGCCCTAGACAAAAATGTTGATACTTGACCGAATTACCCATAAGAAACTAATGTTAAACTTTGCGCTCAAAGAACAGGCAGAAGATATTATCCGATATCAAAATTTCAAAGTGCGTTGAGTTTCGAATTGGTCGGGGACACTTTTCCGCACCCAGGCGTTTTCGTGACTGACAAAAGTGTACTTTCGGCCCAACCTAGTAAAGTATGTCGCAGTCAGCTGGTCGCAGAGACAAAGAAGTGTTGTGACCCAAGCCAGGGCAACTCGTCCAGTCACATGAAGTCAACGGCGATCCAAATGTATTTGGGAAGGGGCGGGGGGCAGTGGGAGAAAGGAGCAGGGTAAAGGGGGAGTGACCTAGGATAGGGGAGGAAAAGAGGTTGCACAAAGTGTCCCCAGCAGCCGCGGCGCAGTTGAAGACACTACATGACGCGTCGGAATACCTCAACAGTTTTACGCGACACTGCCTCTAGAAACACATGCAGGGTGTCTGAGTGCACGAGCTTGCCGCGGGAGCCGATTTGTGAATCTGAGCAGCGAGAGAGGCTCGGCGTGAGGAGACAAGTCATCGACTCGCGTGTCTAATCGCCCGTCCGGGTCCGGGCCGCGCGCTCCGCGCCACGTTTGAATACATTAACGCCTCGCGCGCAAATCTTTAAAATGTGTTTGTCGCTTGATTTGGCCGGACGGGGTCCGCGGCGCTGGGAGGAGATACTGATCCAGCATCGCGGCCCGGCCTGCCGTCAGGACTCGCCCGTCCGGCGGCCAAAGAGTGTAACGACGCAGGGTTGGGTCGCGGAGGGCTGGGCTCCGACGGGCAAAAACGTACGGAATTAGCAGGGTGTACAACGTCAATATGGAAACACCCCATAATTTTTAGAAAAATAATAAAAAAGTAAGTGTAAAATCGTCTTTACTCTAGAGAAGCTTCTCTCGTTTTTTTCTAAAATAAAAAAAACACCTATCGTCCGCCACCGTGCAGCCTGCCCTGTGCTACACATAGGGAGGGAAGGGGGACTTTTCATTCTAGTACAGGACAGTCTTTAAGGGCCTGTCACAAAAATTGTCATACTTTGTCTTGATTTCGACCGATTTTGACCTTTGTTTTTTTCTGCTTTCGCCTGGTGTGCCGTCAGCGACGCGAGCTAAGTGACCCAGTCCGGGCCGGGTGTGCTCCACGTGTCGCAGCCTGGGCGGTCGGGTCGGTCGCAAAAGGAATGGAAATGAAGCGATTAGCCCATCGAAGGCGGTCCGGGCCGCCGGGCTATTCCTGCGTCTCCCAAGACGGCTGCTGCGCGGGGATGCTCTCGCGGGCGTGGGCGGGCGCTGGGAGCGCCGGCCGCGCCAGGATGAGGCGGCGTGACGCAGGCCGCGCCAGGCTATCAGCGCCTGTCAGTGCCAGGGTAGGCAGGCCCGCCGCGCGCCCGTGCGCTCCAGACCTGAGGTTGCCTACCGCCCGGCGCTTGTAGCGCCTGTCAGTGCCAGGGTAGGCAGGCCCGCCGAGCGCCCGTGCGCTGCTGACCCCGAGGTAGCCCACCGCCCCGGCGCCTGTAGCGCCTGTCAGTGCCAGGGTAGGCAGGCCCGCCGCGCGCCAGTGCGCTGCAGACCCGAGGCTGCCTACCGCCCCGGCACTCATAGCGCCTGCCATTGCCAGTGTAGGCAGACCAGCCGCACCACCAAGCGCTGCAGACCTTGAAGTTGCCTACCGCCCGGCGCTCATAGCGCCTGCCATTGCCAGGGTAGGCAGGCCCGACGGGCGCCGGGGCGCTCCAGACCTCGAAGTTGCCTACCACCGCGGCGTCACAGCGCCTGCCATTGCCAGTCGACCTATGCAGGCCCGCCGCACCGCCGTGCGTTGCAGACCCTGATGTTGCCTACCGCCCCGGCGCCCAGCGCTGCAGCCTACCCACAGCGGTCATTACTTTTCCCGTCTGACATTGAAACTGAACCGACTGCGGGGCCCCTACGCGCGCATGGCAGCATCCCGCACCACGCACTAGGAGGACCACGCCCCGCCGCCAGGCGCCGCCGGGACAGATGTCTTCATCAGCGACATAAATCGATCAATGCTTTCTCTGTGGTGAAGCAGTTACCGATAAAAAAAAAATGGCGTGTCATACGCATCTGACCACGACAACGCCGTTTTGATACGCACCCTAGAAATTTTAATTCGTATATTTAATAACAAATGGAGAATTATATACTAATTTTGGCTCTAGAGCAGTGGAGCATGCATACAGAAACAAAAAGGTTGTAAAGTTTTATTTTATATTTCAATTTTTAATTATTTTAGTGCGCTTAAGAGTGTCTTCTAATATATCTTAGAATTTATTTTGGAGTTTACATCTGCAATAATTGCGTTCTTAACAACACTCTCAGTAGTACAAAGAAACGACGGATATACATGGGCATCTGATATGGGAATCTTAAACAGTATTTTACTATTTTGTCAAGTCAAGTCATATGGCAATAAACCATTTACAAAGTAACGTGAACTAATTACAAAGCCGAATGAAGTCGAAGATGTTAGTCCATATATTTGTTTAAGGCAATTTAAGAAATAAGAACTTAATTGCCTGAGTACATTGTTAGATTCCTGCAAAGCACTGCTTTGCAAAACTGTGCAGTGTTTAGATCCTTTGTAACTACGAAGCATTTGCTACGAAGCAATTGCAAAGCGATGCTTTGAAGTGTGTTTCGTTATTGCTTCTTAATTGCATAGCATCACTTGGTAATTACAAAGTGGTTCGTTGTTACAAAGGATCTAAATACTTCGCAGTTCTGCAAAGAATTTCTTTGCAGGAATCTAACAGTGTAGTGGGGTGGGAGATGGACGGTCTTTTAGCACACAGATCAATCAGATTGTTTTCCTTTTTAAGTGAGATCGAAACTGCAATGTTAAATAGCTTCTGATGGAAAACGTTTTGAAGCACAGTGTTCACTTAATGGCTTTCCTCCCGTAAGGGTTCGGAGGTGAACTTTTAGACCATCCCCTCTGGCAAAGCTCTTATTACAAACTGTGCAGCCATATGACTTATGACTTCTCTCCTGTATGTGTTCGGAGATGAGTTTTTAGCTGACTTCCTGTTGGAAACTTCTTATTACAAACCGTACAACCATAGGGCTTCTCTCCTGTATGAGTTCGGAGGTGAACTTTTAGATCACTTCCTGTTGGAAACTTCTTATTACAAACCGTACAACCATATGGCTTCTCTCCTGTATGAGTTCGGAGGTGTCTTTTTAGATCACTTCCTTGTGTAAACTTCTTATTACAAACTGTGCACTCAAATGGCTTTACACCTGTGTGAGACATTCCATGCACTTTCAGATTACCTATTTGAGCGAACTTCTTGAAGCACACGTTGCACTCAAATGGCTTCTCTCCCGTATGGGTTCGGAGGTGAACTTTTATGTTACTATTAATTGTAAACTTCTTATTACACACCGTACAACTGTAGGGCTTTTCTCCTGTATGAGTTCGGAGGTGTAATTTTAGGCCATCCCCACTTGCGAACTTCTTATTACAAACCGTGCACTCAAATGTCTTTTCACCTGTGTGAGACATTTCATGCCGCCTGAGATGACCACTTCGGGCGAAATTCTTGAAGCACACGTTGCACTCAAATAGCTTCTCCCCCGTATGGGTTCGGAGGTGATTTTTTAGAATAGATCCGGTTGTAAACTTCTTATTACAAACCGTGCAGCCATACGGCTTCTCTCCTGTATGTGTTCGCAGGTGAATTTGAAGCCGGTGCCCTGTTGTAAACATCTTATCACAAACCGTGCACCCATACGGCTTTTCTCCCGTATGGGTTCGGAGGTGAACTTTCAGACTAGGTCCTGTTGTAAACTTCTGCTTACAAACCGTGCACTCGAATGGCTTTTCACCTGTGTGAGATATTCCATGCTGTTTCAGATGACCCAGTTGGGTGAACTTCTTGAAGCACACGTTGCACTCATATGGCTTTTCCCCTGTGTGTGTTCGGAGGTGAACTTGAAGCTTAGACCCTGAGATAAACTTCTTATTACAAACCGTACAGTTAAACGGATTTTCTCCTGTATGTGTTCGCATGTGTCTTTTTAAATCCGTTCCCGGAGAGAACGTCTTGTTGCACTCGGTGCCCTCAACTGGTTTTCTTCTTGCCCTATTTTGAGAGAGCATTTTAAGATTTGTCGATCTTGGGCTTGTCACAATCAAATTCTATCAAAATCAGGGCGTTTGATTATTTCTAGCTGGTGGGCTGCTGGGCTGCGCTGAGGCGTTTAAAATCTGTAAAAGCCAAGCGAATCGTCTTAGACACTCAATGCACAGGAACAAGAAATCAGAACACACTTCTTGAGTGCTGCCAAACACAGCACGCAACACAAAGTACACTATGCTGCAAAGAATAAAATGCTGTCAGTTTTAAACAATTTTAGCAAACGCCATTTTGGGCTTCGGGGTAAGTATTGTTACCACCGCTGGTGGAGGATGACGGTGGTAATGTAACGCGCTCGCAGGTGAAGTCGTACGTGTGACGCTGCGCACCGCCCGGCTTCGCCCCAAAGCAGACCACCCACACCCACGACAATGCCAGCAGTGCAGGTGCAGTCCCGACTCGGAGATAATTGCTCTATCAGCGCATTGTGACACTTTTGTGCAATGTCTCGCCAGTCTCGGAGGGAAGTACAGCGCGGCAGAAAATGGCAGAAGCGTTTCCATTTCGCAGAGAGGCATTCCTCGCCTTGTGAGGCTCGCAGTCGGTCTTTCTGCGAACTACCCGCCGATCTGAACAGAGGCCTGCGGGCTGGCCGAGCATGTCCACCATTACAGTTACTGATCGTTAGGCTATGTGCCGAAAGCACACTGTGTTGTCCTTCATTTAGGCAAGAAAAGCCCCCACGGCGCGTGGACATTGCACCCCAGGGTGTGAAATTAACACCATAGTATTTAAACCATTATTTGTATGCCGGAGTAAATGCGATGGCCATGGCAGTACACGCGGGGTCGGGGCCGCAGTCATTATTTTATCCTAAGGGGTAAAAATATCACGGGTACAAATATCACGGCAGTGTACACGGGGCCGGGCGGGGCCGCGCGGCACGAGGCGCTCAAGACAGATAGCGCGCGACACCGCACCTGACACACACAACGGGCAGCCTGGGCTCGGCCCGGCTCGGCTCGGCTCGGCTCGGCTCGGCCCGGCCCGGCTCGGCCCGTCAGCTGGCTCCGCCTGACAGTCTCGCTACTTCCCTGACGACGCAGTCCCTACTCGCACTGCAACTACCAAGCGATGACATGCTGCAACGTCACCGGCCACGACGACTGTACACTCTGGAGAGGAGAAAACGTTTGGCGCGCCGTCTTCTTTGTTCAATAAGAAAAGAGATGAGGGAAAACCGCGCATCGTGTTTCTGCGCATTTAAGTCACAAAAATAAAAGCGAGGAAAGAAATGTATAGTAAAGGTTTTGTGCACATCCTGTTTCCCTAACCGTTTAGCTTGACTAAATCCTATTAGCATGAGGAGTCAACTCCAAAGGGGATGTTTTGTTGACTCTTTTTGGCGGGGGCGGCTGGTAGGTCTCCCCCACAGCCGCGGGCACAGCCGGCGCACACCTTCACCTTGTACGGGGGTGGACGTTACTTTTCCGCGTTTCGCGTGGGAGGCGCCGCGCCGTGCCGCGCCAAAGTGATTCATTTGATTGACGGTTCGGATTGCGTCACGGATCGAACGGCCGGAGGCAGGCGGCGAGCCGGCGGCGTGTGTGGGTAAAATTTCGACAAAAAAATTTTTTAAAAAAAAGACTACAGCATTTATCTTGATCAGTCCTGAGAGATGGGGAGAGACAAGGCTGCTACCATACATACGGTAGCTTTCACTGTTTCGCGGGGTCTCTGAGTTGTCAATCACCTGAAATGATTACGGTATACACCACTGCCAGACCTCTATGTGGGCTCAACGTGCAACTTCAAACATTAGCAGCTGACATTTTTGCTCAGCTTTGTTTTTGATCGCGTTGCGGCCGCGGTCGGGGTTTTGATGTTTACCTCCGTTTGATTCAAAGGACCGTTTTCATTGATTGGTGCGCGCTTTACCACATCGTCGTGCGTCCTAACGGCGGAGAACCGCGCGGGTAAAGGAGAGGGGGAGGGGTGGGGGGACGCGAGGCAGTGCGTAAAGCGTTTACATTCGCGTACAGAATGGATTACATATTCATACCCGCGATGAATCGACAATAAGCATTATTTAGCATATCGTTCGGCTCGCGAGCGCGCTCCAGCCCGGCGGGACGAAAAGTGAAAAAGGAGGGAAGGGTAGAGAGAATGTCCGGTCCACGCAGCGACGACGCGTGGGTGGGGGGCCGGCGAGGCCGGCGAGGCACTGCCAAAAGCGTATACTGGGCTCTGGCTGAATCGCCCGTATTATTGCAACTGACAACATGTTGTGCAGACACTCACAATAATTTTAAGGAAACTAACAACATTTCGCCCGTTGTTCCAGAGGGTTGTTCGCGTCCGTGCGGCGCTGCCGGTCGCGCGACACGGGCACGCAGCTGGCCGCCAAGTTCTCCTCGCGGCAGCGCTACGGTGTGGACTGCTCGGCCGAGATCCACCACGAGATCGCGCTGCTGTCCCTCTGCAGCCCCTCGCCCCGGGTGGTCAAGCTGCACGACGTGTTCCAGACCGACACCGAAATCATCCTCGTCATGGAGTAGTAAGTACACCCCCACCCAACCCAACTCGACCGGCCACTCAATGTTTTCATTGAAAATTGCAAAGTTGTTTCAAAATTTCCTCACAGCAATTTTCGTTTCTAAAAAAGTAAAAATTACTTTAAGACATCTTTCAGCGTTTATTTCAAAACAAAATGACCCATTTCAGCCCTAGCCCTATAACACGCGCCAGTGTGGTCGGACCCCCCCTCTTTGGGCTGATCGCCGGCCGCACTTTGGGCGCCGCCGGTCCTGCACGCCGGCCGGCCTGGAGCCGGGCTGTCACGTCACCTTATTCGGGCAGCATTACGCCGCCATCAGCGCCTGCCCGGGCCCGGCCCGACCCGCCCGATCCAAACCCAAAGATGTAAATTGTTAGAACACGCCGCCGCCGACCGCTTGACCTTCCGCCGTGAGCGGCGACAGGACATGCCGTGGGACACGCCCCGCGCGGGACGAACGACAGCGGCTACACGCAAGAGCTGGCGCCAAGGAATGCTTCCCCGCATCCCCGCATTTATTGGGCGTTTGTTTGTTTTCCCCGCCTCACTGTCACCTGGCAGCCGGAGAACCGGCGGTCTTGACCGAGGGGTCCTTCCGAGGGTTCTTCACTTAATTGCAAATTTAAGCGTACACCGATTTTTCTGTTCTTTTCTTGATTTTTCTCGTTTTTAGCAGATGATACCTTAAAAACCTTTTGACTATACATAAAGAATATTTAAGTTACTTTAAGGTGTCAGCTTGCTTTTACTCTCGATAAGGACAGAGAACCAAGCGGAGACCAGAAAACAATTTATTTGGCGCTAGGGGAATCAGTGAGTGGCTGGCTGGCTGTCCGAGTGTCGCTTCAGGCCCCTCCCCCTTTCCAACGATACTGCGTGAGGCAGGGCAGGGGGCGGGAGCAGAGCACGGCCCCGTCCCTGTACAACAATACTAGGCCACCGACGCCGGCCACTGTGCTCAACGCCGCTAGTACGCCGAATTACAAAATTGCGAGTAATAACAAGCAGCCATAAACAAATGACACCTGAATATGAGAGAAAAGTAGAAAACAGACCTATTCTTAAATTTGTATCATCTGCTTTCAAGATAGATTCTTGATTTAGATTTTTTTTCCTGATCCTCACTGCTTTTTTCTTATTTTTAAAAATTTTTAACTGATTTTTAGATTTTTATTTCTAATGTTTTGTCATTTTTTATGATTATTTTTGGAGGGTGTACACTGATTTGTTTGGGTGAAGTACCCCTCGGTCTTGACCGCCGGGCTGCAAACGCAGTGTGTTACTGGTGTTACTCTTGGTTCGGTACTAACGCACGCGTGTGTCGCAGCGCCCCCGGCGGAGACCTGCAGACCCTCATCGACGACAACATTGTCCCCTACGAGTCGGACGTGGTGTCCTTCACGCGACAACTCGTGGAGGGCCTGGGCTACCTCCATCACCGCAAGATCGCGCATCTCGACATCAAGGTATCACGCCATCCAAGGGGCCGCCCCTCGACGCCCACCCGTGCAGAAAGTGTCTCATGATTCTCTCGTCTTCGGTCTCTCACGCAGCCCCAGAACCTCGTCATGATGGGAGACTTCCCCGACTGCGACGTCAAGCTGTGCGACTTTGAGATCTCCAGGGTCATCCTAGAGGGGACGGAGATCAGGGAGATCCTGGGGACGCCCGACTACGTCGGTAAGTGTCACCCTCCGCCCCGGCGCGGCGCGGGTGACGGCAAGCACATTCTAATTACTTTTCTTATTACTGTTTCTGTGTTGCAGCGCCGGAGATCCTGCACTACGAACCCATCACCATGGCCGCCGACATGTGGTCCCTGGGGGTAACGGTGTACGTCCTCCTCACCGGCTTCTCGCCGTTCGGCGGCGAGACGGACCAGGAGACGTTCTGCAACATCTCGCGCGCGCAGCTCGACTTCCCGGAGGAGCTGTTCGAGGACGTGAGCCCCGAGGCGCAGGACTTCATCCGCAGGCTACTGCAGCGCGATCCAAGGCAGGCTTTACGACGCCTTTTCATTCAGACGAGTCGCGGTTTGGTTTCGACGCCTAACGTTTTTTTCGTCCCTTCCGTCCCACAGGTCGCGCCCCACGGCCAAGGAGTGCCTCCGCCACCCCTGGCTGTCGCAGCGCTCCGCCGAGTCCGGGCCAGGCCGCACCCGCAGCTGCGCCTCCTGCTCGCAGCCAGCCACGCCGGGGGCGACGGCGCCCAACCTGCGGAAGTACCTGTCCAAGTCCAGGGAGGCGCTGTTCGAGCGCGTGCTGCAGCGCGGGGGCGGCGGCGGCGGCGGCGGCCCGCTGGGGGCGGCGCGGACCAAGGCGGGCCCCGGCGCGCGCCTGTGCGAGAGCCAGATGTCCCTCGTGTCCAAGTCGCGGGAGCGCGAGCTGCAGGCCGCGCTGGTGGCCATGTCGCCGTCGCTCAGCCGCTCCCGGGAGAAGCTGTACGGGCTGCGCAGCCTGTCGCGCTCCCAGGAGGTGCTCGCCATGTACCGGGCCCTGCCCGGGCTGCGCACCCTGACGCGCGCCACCACGGCGGACCTCAGCCAGCTGGGCCTGCTCGGCCGTGGCTCGCACACGTCTGTCGGCTCCGAGCTCGACACACTCCCCGACCTGGAGGACGAGGCCGAGCCCGTCTCCGGCTCCTTCTCCACGCCCGCCACGCCCGCGCCGAGTGTCTCGAGCCCCGCGCAGCCCCCGCTCCTTGAGAGGACCACGAGCAGCCCCACGCCCACCACCAACGCGCTCCCGGTCACCGTCATCCCCACGACGACCGTGGCCGTGGCTGTGGCTCCGAGCCCCGCCCCGGGTGACAGACCAACGTCCCCCACCCCAGAGCCGGCAGTCACCCCCGCGCCCAGCGCACCCGTGGCGCCCGTCGTCCAGGACGCCCACACCCAGGCCGAGGCCGACGCGGAGGCAGAGGCCATCATCAGCGCCCTCCGCAGCGGCCTGCTGGCCCGAGGCGCGCCCGCGCTGCCCGCCCTGCTCGCGCCCCTCATGGTGGCCGCGGCCACGTCGGCTAACGGCTGCCTCGGCCACCAGCACGAGACCCGGCCCGAGATCACGGCCACCGCAGGCCTACAGCGGGAGCAGTCCACGCTGTCGTCGCACTCCGAGTCATCCGAGAGCACGCTAGACGAAGACGCGCAGGTCGACGAGGACCTGGACGAGGACAACGAGGACAACGACAGTGACGCGGAGCAGCAGCAGCAGCCGCACCAACAGGGCCAGCAGGACGCCCAGGATCTGCAGGACCAGCAGGACAAGCAGGACCCACGGGACCCGCAGGACCCGCAAGGCGAGCAAGACATTGACGAGCCGCGCTTCACGGTACAGCAGCTCATCACGGCATACAACCTGCACGACGAGGTGGTCACCAAGTCCTCGCTCGACTTCACTATGGCGGCCACAGACCGCGAGACCAAGATCCTGCAGCCCAACAACAAGAGCAAGTTCCCTACCGGGCCCAACGCGCTGCGTCTCTTCATCCCGGACATCGACATCACCAACGCCAAGCCACGCAAGAGCAAAAGCGGCCGCAAGCCCTGCGCCATCAGCAAGATCATAGAGGAGGACGCTGTGGACGGTGAGCAGCCGTGCCTCTCGCCGGAAACGATCAGCAACAACAACAATAACGTCAACAGCCACGTCAACAACAACAACAATAACGTCAACAGCAAGACAACCTGCCATCTCGATATGCCCAAGCCCGTCATCCGTGTCGACGATGTATCTTACCTGCCCAATGGCACCGACACGCCGTCAGCCCTCAAGGAGCCGCCGCCGCCGCCTCCTTTGCCGCCGACGTCCTCGTCGACGGTCTCCCTCCTCGAACCAAAGAAAAGCTTCAAGTCCGTACGGCCAGGTGCCCCGAGTGTCGCGCCCGCGTCGTCCGTCCACAGACACCGTCGCTCCGCGTCGACGCCAAACTCGGAGCCACGCACAGCGGGCTTGTCGCCGTCTCCGTCACCGTCGACCACGAAAACTGGCCGCAGCAGCAGTAACACGAACGGCGTCCACAGGTCGGGTTCCGCTGCCGGCCCGGTCAGAAAAACTAGTGGGAGTACAGGCAGCAACAGCACGTCAGAAAAACTCAGAAGGAAATCCACGCCGGTGTTCAAGTGACCAGTGCCCCTCCTTTCTTACACAAGACCTGAAATCGTGATTCGGTACACGCCCGTAGTTCTTTTCGGGTTTTGTCTTGACAGTGATCTCTCGGAAGACTGCAACTACGGTCGTTCTGGCAAAAGAAGTGGACTCTTATTCCATTCGGAACTCTGAGGGTCGGGTCGAAAGGGTTGGAGGAAGTTAGCGCTCGTAAACGAAATACGTGACAGTCAGGTTCCTTACTTGATTACTCGTGGCGGAACACCGCCGTCGCTCGCAGTCGCCTTGCTCCTTGCTCTGGACTCACTTTACGAAAACTCTTGTCAGTTTATCGGAATACCGTCGTGGGCCCGAGATGGCTGGAGAGTATGAGAATAAGCTCGCTCGGAAGCTATGCAAATCAAAGTTCTCGTCAAAAAAAAAATAGTTTTTTTTAATTCGAAACTGTTGCTTTTTGAGTTCGTTCTGGAGGAATTTGGAACCAAGAAGCCAATTTCACTCAAAAATTTCCAATTTTACAAATTCTTTAACACAAAAAGAGGAAAAAGTGAAAATGTTCTGATAGCTGTTTAAGTATATTTCCTGTAAAAATGTGGCACTGATTTAAATAATAAAATTTGGTGTACTTGTTTAAAATGTAAAGATATTCTTTTGAGCAGAATTCAAATGCAGTAATAAGGCTGAATTCAAAAACAATATAATAGGAGTACAGATTTATTTGGAATTATGTATGGTCACTGTAGTGATGATTTAGAAAATACATTTGTACTGCAAGTACAGAGTCAATACACTATGTCACAATGGTCACATAACACACATCTCTGCAACTACACTGGTAATATTACAATGTACAAATAAATTCATAGAAGGCCACAGACACTTGAGGCAATAAGGTACAAGAACACACCTAAAAATCCTGATTCATCTGGCGAGATCATGGCTATTATGGAGAATGTTAACATATTATGCATCAGTAAAAGGCGAATGAAACATTAACAATGAATCATTAGAGCACAGAAAAAGCAGTCCAAAAAGAAGTCAAGATATTTCAAAAGTAGAACAAAAGATTCATACTATCATAATTGCTAGGCTTAATGACTTTGATTATGCAATAACATAGATTAAAAACTTGCAATACATACCAGCAAGCAGTTAATATGTAAAACAAAAATTGTAGTTACAGGTACAGCCAATGTTTCAAGGTACAAAAACAAAAATACAATGAAACCAATCAAAAAGGTAGGGTTCATCCACCAGTCAAGTTAAAAGATTATAGGACAACACTGAGATTCGTACTAACAAATGGTTTGTTTCAACAAAAGTGCTTACGAAAAGATTGGAAACTGACACTAAACCTCAAATCACATGTTGATAACTTGTTTAATTTGTTTAAGTTTCACAAAGACATATTGTCCAGTAAAAAGTAAAGGGCTTCAGGTGATAAATTATAGTCCATTCTCAATGTGGGGCTGCGCTTTAGGAATCAAAACAAAATTGCAGGCCTGAAGATCAATAAATTAATCAACACACTCACACGCACACAAAAATAAATACACTCACGTGGTCAGATATCAGAACAACATATCTTTAAACAATGACCATTCCATAAGCACAACAGATGAGGGATGGATAGCTGAGCTACACAATACAAAAATCACAAAGGGCAAGTAGTACACTTGGTACATGGCCATTCAATACTGATGAAGTAGTATGTCCTCACAAGCAGAAAAAAAGAGCATAATCAATTGACATAGGTTGGAATACTATGATGCTTAATTCAACTAGATATGATATAAACCAAATTGTTGCGGTCAAAAGAAAATCTTTCAATGCCATAAATAAATAAACCATGAACGAGAGATGATAGCGTCTTGAAAACATTTTGAAGTATCCACATCAAATACATAGATAGAATAAATATTTACAAACACACATACCTACTTAGACCATAAATTCATTCTAAAACTGGTTTCGGCACCAAAATGGAAAGATGTGATGTGCAGTGGCTACTCAAATATCTGAAACCTCAAGCACCAAGGCTGTCAAGGCATATGTTACTTACAAAACATGGTACAAAGTCCATGTGCTTACATCAGAACAACAAAATGTGCTTGGCAAGAAAGAAACATGGAAGGTGCAGCCAAAGCACATCGAAAATCTAATTCCTGACAGACAAATGTATTTTCTACAGAACAATAATAAAAAGATACACCAGGAGCCTTAGAAGCTAAGGGAAAAGAAGAAACATGCTCAAATCTAAAAAAACTCAGCTACACAACAACATAACTGGTAACACGAGCAAAACTGGAAAGCTTGACCTTACATCACATATCACAAATACAAATAAATGACTTAAATACTTGACAGGTATCATAAAGAGCAAAATTAACAGGAAACCCTTACTTTTGTTTAATAATTATCATCACAGCATACACAAATAAAGAAAATGTAAACTGACACCGGTTAACAATACATACATGCTTCCCCATTAGGAATAATTAATTTTACACGAGCATTAGATCTTTCAATGGGCTGTGCATCTTAGTCATGGGGCTGTATTTTTCCACATCCTACAGCCTACTTTTCTCACTTTGCATCTGGTTCATATTGAGCTCATTGAAAAACGGATGACCTTTCAACTGCAAGTACACAGATAAATTAAAATTTACATACGGCTAAGCAGCCTATCCCTCAGCTTCTAATGTTCCTGGATTCACCATAACAATTCCGTACTGTACACAAACAAATATTACAACCTCTATACTTTGCATTAAATAAATGCCCATTTTCCTAAAGAGGTATCCCCCAACATTTTTTTTTATATATTTTCTCTTTTTATATATTTTTGTTTAAGTGTATATGTGTCAAAAGTTAAAACCATGCCATACCTCTTGTAAAGAGGAGTCAAACTATCAATGGTGCAAACCACTTTTTGTTTATACAATTACTTTTGCATTTTCAATCATCATGACAAATGTGATCAGCATTCACGGAAAAACTCCACTAATTCTATGCAAAGTATAGCTTGTACTGTAAAAGACTGGGTATCAAGAGGGCCATTCCGTTCAGTACACACAGTTCTCAGCCAACTCAGACACTTGAACAATAGAAGAAAGTTATCAGCCAGGAAAAACTTAAGACAATAGTTTTTACGACAAATTGATGAACGTTTAGATATTTAGGCTATATCTAGATCCAAATTTGAAAAATAAATGAGAAAGAATGGCAATGAATATTATTCTGAATAATTGTCATTGCTACTTTCATTGCTCAAGATCTGATTTGGGAAGCAGAGCGCCTGCCGACCGGAACGGCCCGGCCACATTCCTGGCATGCGACTGGGCCAATAGGAAAACAGGACAGAGCGCCGGATAGGTGCACCAACTGATGCCCGCCCGCACTGCCCTTTTGCATGCATATTGCATAGTGGTATGCTTTGCATGAAGTCAAAATTTTAAAGTGGAAAGAGACCCAATAACCAGGTGATAACCTCTGAGCAACCAAAAACAGACATTTTTACTTGACCTATCGATGAACTTCAACTATTTCAATTCTGAAGACAACTACCCTGAACATGGTACACACATGCTCAGAAAAATTATACTAACCAAAAAATTAAACAGCGTAAAAGTTAAAATGAAACAAAACTTCAAAGTTCTGATAGGTCTCAACTGACACAGACAAGCGCATTTGCACAAATGAATGATGAGGTGTATCAGAAATCATCACCTGTGCTTTAACAATCTCTTCACAACTTGGTCAAGATCTTCAAATACTCCAAAGTGTTTTGAGCTGCAGCAGACTGAGCTTCTTTCGAGGTATGACCACAACCATAGCAGACAGCAACAGGCAGGGTAGAGAGTTGAATCAAGCACTGGAACTTTCCTGCACAAAGAATGAAAACTTCTTAATTTCAGAACAGGTGCCTACATGAGCTCACACAATAAGGATCCAGTCATACCTGTCATTGACTTTTCTTCAATGTCAATGTAAGATACTTCAATTTCTTGCTCAACCGCAATTTCCTGGAGGAATTTCACATAGTTGAAATCAGGCTGATTCAATGCCTGTGTCTGGAAATGAAAGAGAACAAATGAGTCAGAAAAGTGACAAGAAAATGTTAAAATTGAAAGCATAACTTACTCCACACATAAACACAAGAGTTAATCAGCCCAAATGAAACAAAATAGGCTTGGCTAGGCGAAGAAACAAGCAGAAGGCCACCTGACCAAACATAAGTTATGTCTATAATTACCTTGAGCTCATCAAGCTTAGGCCCGGTCGAGCATTTTATGTTCTTGTGGAATTGTGAAACCTTCACATTTAGCATGGCTGTCATGGTATGGAATTTACTATCTTTCAGACCTGCAAAGCGGCTCGCCACATTTGACACTCGAGAGATCTACAAGAAATCAGAAATTCATAGAATTTAGATTAGGGTCACAATTTGTCATATTTGACAAGATGCCCTGCATTAATCAGTGCATTATTACAGCTGAAAGCAGACGAAAGAAAGTTCTGAGTATAGGCAATGCTGACCTGACCGGTACAACTCACTCAAGATAATTCATAATTTAAATAAAGGTAGTTCTAAAAAAATCAGATTTGCTGAACTTGAATAAAGAAATGACAAATAATAATGTCAAAGACGTGTGTAATTAGGCAACATTTTAAAAGCTGAATTTAGCAGTTTTGATATTTGGAGTAGGTAGAAAAACTTTAGATAGTAAGTCGCAAACAATAACTGTTCATCCCTTTTTTGAAAAAGATATGAAATGTTATGGGTAGCTCAAATGACTTTTGCAGCAGCAAAAGAAAAACGTTAATGTGCACTTAACAATAGGAGTTGAAGTAATTTTTTTTAAAACAGAACACAACTGAAAACATGACATTAACTGATATCTAAGGCAAACAGCAACTGTAAGCATACCTCATCATCATCTTCATTGTATCCCATACGCATGTTGTTGTGTTCCATTGGAGAGTCCTGCAGTTTCTCCCACATTTTATGAGCAGCTTGTCGCTTAGCTAGTTTTTTGGATTTACCTGAACCTATAATTAGAGAGCAAATCTTATGTTAGTACAAAATTAACAGTTGCTATATCCAATATAGGAGGGGTGTTAAGGTTTTTACCAATTTCTTTGTGGTTGAAAATAGCACATGCAATGGTAAACTGGCGTTCATGAGGTAAACCCTCCTCACTTTCCATTTCATATGATGGTGGAGGCCATCGGCGTGACATACACAATTCCTGCAGGGTTCCAATAGGGTTTCCAGGAATCTTGTCATCATAAGGAGAAACAATTTGCCTGAAAAATAAAAGAGGACAGTGTAAAAAGAAATGACCGGTGCAAGCTGCCCATTTATTTTCAGGATTCACTGAAAACCTGACTTACACATCTGGGATGGACGGTGAAGGATTGTTCGTCAGACCATCACTTTGGCCACCAATCAGCTTGTCTAAAACAGCTTTAGCAGCAGCATGTTTGGCTTCCTTTTTAGAGCGCCCTGTGCCCATTGCTAACAAAACAACAATTCAAAAGAACTTAGTCACAGAAAAAAATCAGGAAACAAGTAGGTCAGATAATAACTAGTAGATAACCTTACCAACAACATCAGCTACAGTGACACGGTAGCGGAAAGTAGGCTCATGTATTGCCCCTTCAATCTGAACCAATTCATACTTTGGTGTAGTGCCTCTTCGGCTGAGCAACTCTTGCAACACCGAAACAGGGGTTTTAGAGGGTAACTCCTTCATCTCCTAAAATACAAAAAAATACAAAAAAAATGTATAAGTACAATGCTGGTTCTAACATTTCAAAAATAAATTTAGATAAGAAAAGGAAAGACAAAACAAACAAACTGACCAAAAGCATTTAATATTTTATTGTTAAGACATTAATAAAAAAAAATTGCTCAACCATGTTACTTGAAAATAAAGCAGGAAAATGTCTACAAACTTGATTTTAATGAGGGAACATGAATAAATCCTCAATGGCTAAATAAAAAATTATATAGCCATGGATATAGAATGATAAGAACCATACAGGAAGCAGTTAAAACATAAATTGAAAGTTTAGAACACTTTAGACCACCTAAAAAGCAGTGGAAAAATACCCTGGCACATGCAAAAAGCTTGAGGGTTGAATCAAAGCAACATTCCTATCAAAACATCAAGCTGTGATAATAGTGTGCTGATCAGCATGTTCATTGCACTTATAAGCACTATCTTTCAAAATGAATAAATTGGGAAGCATAGAGCATGTATGAACACTGATAATTATTACTATTAGATCAAAAAGCTAGTTTAGTAACTAGTGTAAGTTTAAACAAACTGGTTTGGTAAAAATTATTTTAAAATGTGACTAAAAGATTAAGTAAGCAGAATTTTCCTTTAATATAAGAGAAGTCCCTCCACCTTTAGTTTAAATTGACTTGAGAACAGAGCTATGGCAAATTTTTAATCCCTGGAGACCATCCTTACCAACTTAGCAGCTTCTTCAAGAGGAAGGGTCTCAGACAGCATAGCTCTGACAGTTGTACGTTTCCTACGCCACTGGTGGTTTTGGACAGGTTCTTGGCCAGGTACTGGGCCGGGGCCAAGACCGGTGCAAAGACCAGAGCCCAGACCGGGGCCGAGACCAGGTCCGAGACCAAGACCAGGTCCAAGACCAGAGACCGGGGGAGGAGCAGGAGCAGGCATCGCTACCATATCCATCATTGTTTATTCACAAAACACTGAAAATAAAGTATGTTTGTGAGAAATGGTCTAATGACCAGACTTCACATTACCAAGTTCCCACCATGGTAGTGTGAAAAGTGAAAATTAAGGGAAGAATACAGATAAAATAAATTTGGTTTGTATTAGAGGACACATGCTGCTCACTATAAGTTTGATTGGGTTCTCATATCATATCCAAAATCCTTTCACCACAATACATAACAATTAAGTACTAATGCTCTTAACAGAGGGGTGTGCTTTCATGCCTAACTCGTGCACTAAATAAATTTGAACAGGTTCTAGGTCTACATATGATCTACAAATGACAGATATGCCTCATGCAAAATAATAAGTAGTCTCGGAAACGCTCAGGGACAAGTTCAAAGGAGGAAAGTAAATGGTAGAAATCAGAAAATACATCCAACAGTAGGTCCTGTGCGCCGACGCGCGGAAGTAGCCGCATGCAGCATTGCTGCCCTGCCCTATAGAGGCAATGTGCTACCTCAGGAACCTCAGCAGGCTAGGTCAGGGAATCATTGGACCTTCACTCATATTGCAATGGGTAAATAGACCAATATAAATCCACATGGTCGGACCAGATTGAGAATTTCTCACTCTACACAGACTATGTAGAATAACTAAACATCTAAATTTTGTCAATTTCTTAAAGAAGAAAAAAAAGCCTTCTTTGAGACACACGGCTGGGTTTAGGCATCAAAGCTTCATCTTTAATAACAGGTGACTCCAAGTATATTGAATATATAGGTGTAAGATCCTTAGAAAGGAATATGGGTAAAAGACAAGTTTGTCTATTCACTAACCTTCCTCTGCCATCAAACTGAATAGGGACTGGCTTTAAAAACAAATTTAATAACTCAAGATGTTAAAGGGGAGGTTATAAAATACCAGAGAGTCAAGACTGCTCCTTCAAAACATAGAAGTTATGATAGCAGGTAATTAGAACAATATTTGTTTAGGATAAACATTTACTAGCAGGGAAATATCTGACCAATAAACTTGTAATTGGTTCAGCGGTTAGTTAAGGGCAAATGCAAGAGACTGCATCACTAATTGACAAAAACTTAAAACATATCAACATAAGATTGTTCAAATTGAGGATTAGGGATAATGTAGAACAGTATTTCAAACTAAAATCTATTGTAATCACAAGCTTCATGAGGAGATTAGATAGTTTAATTGACTCCCCCAGATTAACTATCAGCAAGTCTCTTTGTGTCAGATGTATAACAAAACTTAATAAGTTCAAAGCAAACGTCATGAACAGTATGAACTTCCATCATATGCCATGCTTAAAATTTGGTTGTAAGAAGGCTTATCATCAAAGGTGCGTTCAAAACATATTGTACAGCACCTTATGAAAATGCAAAAACTTAGTTCCAAACCATTATTGATATTTTCAGAACTAAGTACTTTATGCAAGTGTTAAACTTAATACTAGTAATTTGAGGGATGATTATGAGAGAATATGGATGAAACATCTGTTACTAAATGTTATAACACCAGATGTAACAATTCTACGCAACAATGCACATGCTGATCAAATTGTTTCCAAAAAAATAACACACAGGGACAGGAAGCAGTCAGGTCATAGGATAATATCCTGAGCATCATCCAGCCCTCAAATACACAACACACAGCAAGAACTTCAATCAAAACAAAGATATTAGCAGACAAAAAGCAGCTGCCTGCTTCTGAAGTTCAAACTTTGCCTTCAGATACATGCAAATGATTGCCCATCACCACATTTATCAGCTCACACTACAGACGCAAAATAGGCTTGCCTATATAGGCCTAACCTATCAGCCTATGCCATGATAATGTCGCTACAACAAGCCAACTGCAAAACTCATGCACTAGTCGCAAAAACCCACAGGCAAATAAAGTTAATGACTAATCATAAGACCGATATTGTATGTGATATTTACTTCTGCTGGAGTACGAGGGGGGGAAGCCACCGAAATAAAGAAAATACGGCCGGTGCCAGTGCTGGAGTTGTGGCCTGCACTAGCAGAGGGCCGGCGATCGAACTTAGGCCCCAAAAATATCCTTGGCGCACCCAAAACTTATCACGTTCTAGTGTGAACGAGGTGTTGAGCCCGGGATGAGAAAACTAGAGCATCGGTGCTCAGCTGAGCGGCCGGCGTAGGCCAAACTCAGCCGGTCCGGCTAGGCTGGGTTACACTATAAAGCCCTCGGAAGCCAACGCTCAGGCCCACCCCAAGCACACCAAAGAAACCAAGCCCCGGGGACAAAACGGACAAATTACAAAGCCAGAGCATCCCGAACGATATTTACCTCTTCGTCAATTGCTCTTCTAATTCGCTCCACGGTGGCGAGAGGGATGTAATTCATGTGAAACACCTGGGAAATGAGACGCGTACACCTCGACAAACTCGACTCAGTCAGAGCCCATGCTTAAGTGCCGTTATGGGCGACGGCAGCGCTGAGTTTGCCCCTGGTGGCGGCGCAGTCAACTACGACCGCGCGTGCGCGGCCGCCGCCACGCTGATCCCATCCCACTAAATCGAGGTATTTATTCCAACAGAAGCGTGATTCGGGGCAGCGAGGGTCACAACTACGAGTGGAGACTTCCATCAATAAGTAGACATCAAAATCTTACCTCGGAGAGACTCACGGGCGGCACAAAACGAGGCTCGGAGGCGACGGGTTTCGGGCCCGTTTCGTTTCTTCGCGGCAAACTCTTCAACTCCTGAACAAAAAACAGATTAGACTTTAATTGATGACTCGCCAAATTTGAGCCACATGCACAGTCGCCTACACGACCGCCGACTGCTCTCGGTCCGCCCTCCGCGATTCCGCCGCATTCACGAGCGGCTGCGCGTCGCAAATAGAGCCGCCCCAACCTCGGGAGGTTGGCCCCCTCGCGGCGCGCAGCCCAAGGGTGGCCATGAGAAATCGAGCGGCGCGCGACGAGGCCGTTCTACGCTAGTGCGGGGCGGGAGCCTGAAAACACGGCCCAACGTTGAGGCCCGACCCCAAAATCCACCCCAACCCCTACGAAGCGCACGCGAGAGCAGCGTCGTGTCACCTGCCGCTGCCGTGTCCGCGACGTTCACCGAGACTAGAGGTACAGTGCCGTCACCTTGCTTTGCGATTACAACACACGACGCATCGCAAGGACCGAGAGGAGGCGCCGTGACCTGCTGCTGCGCGCGGGCGCACGGCCCGTGCCACCCGCTTTGTAAACTCGCGCGGCGGCCGGCGCGGGTGGGCCTTCTGGTGCTGCAGGGCGGAAGTAACTCGTGACAACAATCCTTTTGCTGCAACCTGTCAGAAGTACTGTGTGGCAGGCTGCACTGCTGCCGTCTGTCAATGCTCTCCGGTGCATGCATACGTACTGCGACTATAACCTCGAGCCAGTGGGAGGAGGTGGCCGTTGTCATTCGCGTCCGGCCGGTGAGGTTGGGGGGGGGG